AGATAATGACATCATTTCAAGTCATCCTGAAAAGAAGTAAGATGACACTTCTAGCCTCATTCCACCATACTTTAAGCATACAGAGAGATTTTCTTTTTTTAAAATAAAGAAGGATTGGTTCATTAGCAGTTATCGAAACAACAGCAATAAAATCTCCCAATATTTTAGTTAGTCAACTAGTATGTATTAAAGTGCCCACCATGTGCCAGTCAGTGTGCTAAGTGTTAGGGATACAAAGAAAGGCTATATTAGAAATAATTAATGGAGGGAGGGCTTTAGAATTAAGAGGGACGAAGAAGAGTTTCCTGTAGAAAGTGAGATTTTATCTGGGACTTGAGGGAAGCCAGGGAAACCAGGAGACAGAGATGAGGAGGGGGAGCATTCTAGGCAGGGGAAACAGCCAGTGAAAAGGAGGTCAGTGTCACTGGATCTATGTATGTGGGGGTGAGTAAGGTGAAAGAAGACTAAGAGTAGTCTTTTTACCAGTAAAGTGACAGGAGGCCAGTTCACTACACCACCAAGAGTTCATTAGTAGACCTGTTTTCCTCTGAAGAAGAAAGCTCTTCCCTGAAGAGCTCTGAATGTCAGTGAGAGGATTTTATATTTGGTGATGGAGACAAGAGGGAGCCACTGAATGAAAAATGTTACATAGTCAGATTTGCACTTTAGGAAGATCATTTTGATAATTGAGTGGAAGATGAACTGAAGTGGAGGAAAGCCTTGAGGCAGGGAAACCAACCAGCAGGCTATTGCAGTAGTCCAGGAGTAAGACGATGAAGGCCTACACCAGGGTGGTAGCAGTATCGGAGGAGTATCAGTATGAGAAATGTTACAAAGGTAGAAACTATAAGACTTGGTAAATGATTGCATATGGTGGAGCAGTAAAAGAAAGTGAGGAGTTGAGGAGGATGCTTAAGTTTAGAACGCTGGTGACTGGGAGGACGGTTTTACCCTCAATAATTCTTTACCCTCAACAAATCTCACCTTCTACAGGAAACTCTTCTTTGTCCCTCTTAATTCTAAAATAGAGAAGTTAGGAAGAAGGGAGCATTTGGGTAAGAATGATAATGAGTACAGTTTTGGTCACATTGAGTTTAAGATGTCTGAGACATCTGATTTGAGATATCTAGTAGGCAGTTGGAGACAAGAGACTAAAGATGGAAAGAAAGGTTAGGGCTGGACAAATAGATCTGAAATTTATTGCTGTAGGGATGATAGTTAAATTCAAGGAAGCTGATGAGATCACCGATGACATCAATGAAATAGTATAGAGAACAGAAGAAGGCCCAGGATAGAATTTTGGGGGATATACACTGTTAGTAGGCATGACCTAGATAAAGATCCAGCAAAGGAGATTGAGGAGATGTCAGACAGGTAGGAGAACCAGGAGTTTTAGTGTTATTATTATTATTTTTTTTTTTGGTGAGGCAATTGGGGTTAAGTGACTTGCCCAGAGTCACACAGCTAGTGAGTGTTATGTGTCTGACTCAGGTCCTCCTGACTCCAAGGCCAGAGGTCTATCCACTGTGCCACCTAGCCACCCCAAGTTTTAGTGTTATTAAAACCTAGAAAGAAGAGAGGTTGAAGAAAAGGGCGTGGACAGTGTGTCAAAGGCTACAGAGAGGTTGATTTGGCAATTAAGAGATCACCCATAACTTTGGGAAGAGGAGTTGTAGTTGAGTGATGAAATCTGAAGCCAGACTATAAAAAATTGAGAAGACAGTAAAAGAAAAGGAATGGAGGCATCAATTTTAGATAGCCTTCTCAATGAGTTTAGTCACAAAAAGGAGGAGAAATGAATAGTGGAGAGATGAGTAGATCAGTGAAGATTTCTCAAGAATGGTGGAAATAACGGGTGTGGTTTTTATAGGCAGGTAGTGTAGTAGGGAAGCAACCAGTATACAGGGAAAAAAGATAAGTGAGGAAGTGAGGATGATCTAGTAGAGGAGATGAGATGGGGTCACTTGTGTATGTACAGGGATTTGCTTTGGCAAGAAAAAGAGCTACGTCTTCATGTTATATAGGGAAGAAGGAGGAGATAGTGGTGGAATGATACTTTTTATCTCAGATCAGTTTTACAGCATGTAATTTGATAAAAAATGAAAAACTAAATCTGTAAACTACCAAAGGTCATCTCCAAAAACCTGAATGTTCCCAAGTACAGAGAAAGTCAATTATTTTTAGGAAGAATTTCTCCAAAAGCCCTTTTAGGTATCACAGAAATAGATGGCACTTTATCTTCCCAGTAAGTTCAAGGGTGAAGCAAGGATGCCCATTATCACCATTTTTATTCAATATTGTACTAGAAATGCTATCTATGGCAGTAAAAGAAGAAAAAGAAATTAAAGGAATTAGAGCAGGCAATGAGGAAACAAAAATATCACCTTTTACAGATGATATGATGGCATACTTAAAGAATCAACTAAAAAACTAGTTGAAATAATTAACAACTTCAGCAAAGTTGCAGAATATAAAATAAACCCACACAAATTGTCAGTGTTTCTATATATTACCAACAAAGTCCAGCAGGAAGAGATAGAAAGAGAAATCCATTTAAAATAACTGTAGACAATATGAAATACTTGGGAGTCTGTCTGCCAATGCAAACCCAGGAACTATATGAACACTGTTACAAAATAGTTTTCACACTAATAAAGTCACAGCTGAACAACTGGAAAAATATTAATTGCTCATGGATAGACAGAACTAATATAATAAAAATAACAATTCTACCTAAATTAATTTACTTATTCAATGTCATTATCAAACTACCAAAATCATTTTAAAGAGCTAGAAAAAATAACAACAAAATTCATCTGGAAGAACAAAAGATAACGAATATTAAGGGAATCAATGAAAAACAAATGTGAAGGAAGATGGCCTAGCAGTGTCAGATCTCAAACTGTATTATAAAGTGATAATCATTAAAATCTAGTAGTGGCTAAGAAATAGAGTGGTGGATCAGTGGAATTGATTAGGTGCACAGTACATTGTAGTAAATGACTGTAGTAATCTAATGTTTCAAACCCAAAGATCCAAGATTTGGGGGTAAGAACTCAACATTTAACAAAAATTGCTGGGAAAACTGGAAAGCAGTTTGGCAGAAACAAGGTATAGACCAATATCTCACACTGTTTACCAAGATAAGGTCAAAATGGGTACATGATATAGACATAAAGGATGATATCATAAGCAAAGTAGGGGAGTCTATTGTTTGTAAGATCTATGGATAAGGGAAGAATTCATGACCAAACTGGGATATAAAATGGATGATTTTGATTACATTAAATTAAGGTTTTTCACAAACAAAATCAATGCAGCCAAGATGAGAAAGAAAGCAGGAAACTGGGGGGAAATTTTTTTATACCAAGTATCTCTGATAAAGGCCTTGTTTCTCAAACATATGAAGAACTGAGTCAAATTTATAAGAATACAAGTCATTTTCCAACTGACAAATGGTCAAAGCATATAAACAGGCAGTTTTCAGAAGAAGAAATCAAAGCTGTCTATAGTCATATGAAAAAAAATGCCCTAAATCACTATTTATTAGACAGATGCTAATTAAAACAGCTCTGAGGTATCGCCTCACACCTATTAGATTGGCTAACATGATAGAAAAGGAAAATGACAAATGTTGGAGGGGATGTGGAAAAACTAAGACACTAATGCACTGCTGGTGGATTGTGAACTGTTCTAATCATTTTAGAAAGCAATTTGGAACTAAGCCCAAAGGGTTATAAAACTGTGCCTAGCTTTTGACCCAGCAATATCACTACTAGATCTATATTCCAAAGAGATCAAAATAAAAAGGAAAAGGCTCTATATGTCCAAAAGTCTTTATGGCAGTTTGTTTTGTGGTGGCAAAGAATTGGAAATTGAGGGGATGCCCATCAATTGAGGAATGGCTGAACAAGTTATGGTATCTGATTGTGATGGAATAATATTGTGCTGTAAGAAATGATGGGCAGCATGGTTTCAGAAAAAACCAAGAAGACTTATATGAACTGATTTAAATGAAGTGTGCAGAACTAGGAGAACACTACACAGTAACAGCAATATTGTATGATGATCAACTGTGAATGACTCAGCTGTTCTAAGCAATATCTAAAAGCAATGATCCAAGTCCATTCTGAAGCATTTATGATGAAAAATGCCATCTACCTCCAGAAAAAGAACTGATGGAATCTGAATGCATATTAAAATCTTTTTTAAACTTTCTTTTTTATTCTTTTTTTTGGGGGGGTTGTGTTTTGTTTCACACCATGGCTAATATGAAAATATGTTTTGCATGACTTCACTGTATAATTGATATATTGCTTGCCTTCTCAGTGGGGAGGGAGGGACAAGAGAAAGAAAATTTGGAACTCAAAATTTTTAAAAACAAATGTTAAAAATGGTTTTACATGTAATTGAGAAAAAAACCAGACTGGGCACCATACTCCAAATTGGAGAGAGGAGGACTCATGGCAGCAAGATTCTCCATGCTAGGACCAGCTGTTGGGTCCATTGAATATGGTAGCTGTGGTCAGAGAAACTGGAGGTCCCTGGAGAGGTAAAGACTACCTGCCCAGACAGAGAAAAGCTTCCAAGTCCACTTGTATCCTTAACTCATTCCCTATGATGTGAATTCATTCTCTGGGCCAGAGTTCCTCCAGAGGTTGTGGGTCAGCTTCAAATGACTAGGCCTGCTGGGTGTGAATCCAACATTAAGTTTTGAAAGATGTAGCTGTGTTTGTACTAATTTTCCTGATTAAAGGAAGACTAAATTGCATTTTTCCTAAAGGACTGGTGTTCAAATCAGCTCCTATGTATGTGACTTCAGGGATTTAGGAAAGTGGCAGGCTCATAACCATTTGGGGGATATTTTATTATTATGCCTTATTTTTCTGTAATTTTGCACTATCTGTTTATCAGTTCTTTGCTGAATAAAACAACTAGATAGTATCTAAAAAAAAAGATTCACATTAAACCTTTCTAATCTGAACCAACTGAACTCACAGGAATGTTGCAGAAGACAGAAACAGGAGCTGTGTGAAAAATTTGATTATCTCTATGGCATCCTGGAGGAAAGAAAGAATGAGATGACACAAATCATTACAAGGAGCCAAGAGGAGAAACTGGAGCATGTCCGGGCACTGATTAAAAAGTATGCAGATCATCTGGAGACAGTTTCCAAGTTGGTTGAGTCAGGAATTCAATTCATGGATGAGCCAGAAATGGCAGTCTTCTTACAGGTATGGTCCAATGTGGTCAAAGAATCTAAAGATATTCACCAGGTGGGCGGGTTGGATACAAAAAGCTGTTTGTTGTGGTCAGAGGGTAGAAAACATCTCTCCCTCATAGCATATTTGTTATATGTATGTCCATCTTATTATATTGAACAATTTGAGCAAATGAAAATATTCTTTCCTTCTGTGCTTGGCTCTTAATCTGATTATGTTACTCAGTAAAGTATATTTAAAAGGTCATAATGTTTAAATGTAAAAAAAAAAAGATTGTGATTTAAATTTGATCGGATGCATTACACTTTGGTATTCCAAGAGGTGGAGAGAATTAAAGATCAGAATGCGAAGTATCTTTGACAGAAAGAAAGAATTAAAGCCGCCTTTTCTTGCTTTCACAGAATGCCAAAACGCTGTTACAAAAGTAAGTAACTTTTCATTTGACAAAGAGTTTAGGTTTTCTATTTTTATTCATGACCATCTAACTAAACAGTGATTGCAACTGCCACATTGTCTTGGTTTCAGAATTTCTGAAGCATCCAAGGCATTTCAGATGGAGAAAATAGAACACGGCTATGAAAACATGGACCATTTTACAGTCAACCTCAATCGAGAAGAAAAGATAATAAGAGAAATTGACTTTTACAAAGGTATATCACCCAGGTGACCAAAAATGGCTGTCTTAAACTGCAGGTGTGTGCAAGCTGCTGGAGGTTGGGGTGTCAAGGGTCACACTCCAGTATTGCTGCCAAAATAGAACCTGACAACTTTGCAGGGACCATAATTGAAAATGAAGCTTCGTTTCACAGCAGAATCATGCATCTTGTTGACAAGGGTTATTCTGGCTTTAGCTATCAGAGGGCCTCTTACACCACGATATACTTTGTTGACAGTTAAGTGCCTCTGATGATGACAGCACCCTTAGTTCCTCCATCCTTACACAAAACATTGCTCATGATCACATAAAATGCCACTCGGTGCTAGTTTGAAGACCAGTCAGAAAAGGGAAGACATCTGGGTGGGAAATTGTATAGTGTTTGTTTAATTAAGTACTGACAGTTCACAAATCAGAGTGGCAGGTGGTGTGGGGAGGCAGGTGAGCTATAGACTGTGAGGAGAAACCGGTGCTAAGGTCTAGAGACAAAGTAGACCAGTCCTAAAACCTACCACCCATTTTCAATAGCAGAGCTAAGAGTCTAGGCCCTCCAGTAATAAAATGAAGCAGGCATGGTACATAATCTATGATGATATGCTTAGGGAAGAGGAGGTCATATGATCACAAATCTAAATTTGGAAGGGCCTTACAGGCCAGTCCCTTTATTTTACAAATGAAGAAAACCTGAGACCACACAGGTAGTAACCATCAGGTCCTCTGACTCTGGGGCCAGTCATCCTTCTGTTGTACCAAGATGAGTAATACATTCCATTCTTTAATAGTCACTATTTATGAACACTACACTTGTCTTTTTAGAATTAAATCTCAAAATAATCTCCCTTTTCATCCAATTTCTTGATTTCTTTAGCAGTTAAGAAAAGAGATGATGTTTTCTATTGGAACTACTTGGTTTAACTGGCTGTTGGGGTGCCTTAAGGAATTAAGAAATGAATGAAGCTCAGCACCATGCTTGGGGGCAGTGGGCTAGTTTAGAGATGTGTTGGTAGAGACTACAAATGTTTATGTGGGAGAGGAGGGGAAAGAAAAAAGAAAAGAAGGGAGGGTACTCATTGCCATGTTGAGTGGGTATGTTTGCCCTGTCCACACATGATCAAAGTTGTAGGGTCCAGCATTCAGTGTAGACAGGAATTTTTCTAGCTACCATACTGAGCCTTGTAAAATATCAGAGGGAGGTGGAAGGAGATGTCTTCTACGTAGAGGTGTGCTGGTAAATGTTTAGCAACCAGCTTTTTGAAAATATATAACACAATTTCAAGTTAAACCGGCATTATTAACTTTTTCTCCATCATTTTCTTAAGTCTAGAAAATCAAGAAGATAATAAATCAAACTCTGATTTGTAGTATTTACTTATTGCCAAGGTATAAATGCTTACACTGAAAATTTAACAATTGGCTCTGCCAAGCCAATGAGCTGGTTCCAACACCCTTGCTTCTCTGTTGTGGCTAGGAGAATTGTCTTATTTGTATTCTTTTCAATAGTGTTATTGGACCAGGCATGCAATTTTATTTGTGTACAGAACTCCAAATAAGAAAACTCCCTTTACCAGTGCAGTCAGATGTGCTTTGTCTTAGAGAGGGACCTGGGAGCATTGAGAGGCTAAGCCAGTATATGTCAGAGGTGAGCCTTGAATCTAGGCCTTTCTGACTCTAAGGACGGTTCTGTATATACTAACACATGCCACCTCCCTGGTCTGTTATACTGTACTTAATTGGTTTGTTATACTGTCTTTAATTCAGAGGTGTCCTGGTATATTTTTACAAGTGTGTACAATCTCTTTGCAGGTGGTGTAGTGGATAGTGCCAGATCTGTAGTCAGAAAGACCTGAGTTCAAATCCAGCCTCAGACGCTAGACGAGTCACTTAATCCCATTGGCCTTTGTTTCCTCAAATAATCTGGAGAAGGAAATGGCAAACCACTCCAGTATCGGCCAAGAAAACCCCAAAAGGGGTCACAAAAAATCAGACACGACTGATCAACAAAGTCTGTTTACTCCACAGAATAAAGTGAAAATGATAGCCAACTCCATTTGTTCCAGACTTTTCCTGGGTATAAGTTGAAAGGACAAGCACAACCCCTGAATGTGACAAATGTCTGAATCTTGTAGAGTCCCCACGAAGAAAGCAGGGAGCACTGGGGTCAGATGTTGATCTGGACACCAGGTTGTCTCCTCAATGATGGGAAGTAGAAGAAAATTTGAAAGGGAGGGGAGCCCAAAGGCCTACGTACTCATTGTGACAAGTAGCTAGACTCTATTCAGGCATTTTCCAGATCGGATTTGTCCCAGTTTAGCTCAGTGTTAAAAATTTGGATTTACAAACAGATAAACTAAGGGGCAGTTATCCATGTTACTAAAATAGTCTTACTTTTAAGCAGTAGCTCCTCTGCTATATTATCCTGCTTAGACATCATTCGATTTTTTTACTGAGAGGATTAGAAAGGTGAGTCAGAGAGGAAGTCGGCAGCTGTAGGGTGCTCTATACTTACACAAATACATGTGAGCATTAACAGATGGAACCTGTTCAAATACAGAGAGAAAAAAAGAACAAAAACCTGGATTAGAGTCTTTAAAAGATGAAGTTATATTTTTTAAAAATATTATCAAATTATAAAGCTGTCTTTGAAAACAAGTTAACTTCTAGTTAGCTCTTAGAATTGACCATAAGATAAAGATTCAAAAACATATTTTAATAGAATGGAAAAAACAATGGGAAGGGCAGCATTGCATATTGGAAGTGAGGACTGGATCTGAAGTCATAGGTCCTGGGTTTGAATTCTACACCTGCCTGTGTGACCCTGGGCAAATAACTTAACTTTCCTGGGCCTTTTCAGTTTCTTCATCAGTAATAGCTAACATTAACATAGTGTTGTAAGGTTTACAGAACACTCTGCATGTGTTATCTATTTCATCCTCACAGTAACTTTGGGAGGTTATTATCGGTACTATAATCATCCTCATTTTACAGATGGGGAAATTGAAGCACAGACAGGTTAAGTGATTTTCCTAGAGTCATACAGCTAGTATCTGAGGCAGGGTTTAAACTCAAGTTTTCCTGATTCCAAGTCCTATATTTTATGCATTGTACCACCAAATGCCAGGTTTAGATTAGATGACTATGAGTTCCTTCTACCTACACATGTATACACCTATACCTATATATAGGAGATACCTTCTGCCTTTAGCCTATGAGCTAAATATTTAAAACTTGCTGTTGGTAAACCCAGCATAAGCTATTATTATTATTATTTTAGTAATAATAAAAATAAATGAACTCCATTGTTTTAAAATTACTGAATCTAATTTTTCTTGGCACTTGGATTGGATAGGTCCCAACTGCCAATTTGTTTTGCATATTTACTATAAAAATGACAATAAAATAAATACTGTACAAATGATAACCAGCATTTATATAGTGCTTTAAGGTTTGCAAAGCACCTTATATATGTTATCTTATTTGATCCTCACAATAACTCTGTGAAGTAGATGCTATTATTATCCTCATTTTACAGATGGGGAAACTGAGGCTCAAAGAAGATTGATTGAGTCGCTCAGGGTCACATAGTCAGTAAGTGTCTGAGACATACTCCCAAGCCTAAAGCTCTGTCCAATGTGTGCTCTGACCGTCCACTGTACCACCTGTTTTGCCTGTAGCTTATCTGGTAATTATTTTGATGAAGATGGCACTTCTAATGATTAAAAAGTAGCATTCTTTCCATATCAGAGGAAGAGGAAGATGAGGAAGTGGCCGAAGAAGCAATGGAAGATGTCTGTACAGAGTCATCAGGGGAAGAAGAAAATCCTGAGATAGTATCCCAGCCCTCTCCACCAGATGCTGAGCACCAGTCTATACCTGAGGCACTTCCTGTTGCATCTGTAGAAATACCACCTACCCCACCAGCTGCTGCGGGGGATCTTGTAACTCAGGTAAACTTTCCCCAGGGTTCCCTTCACCCCTGGGGCAGATAAGGATGGATCACTATTCAGCGGTCTGAGCAGTTTATTCTGACTCAAAGCAAAATTTGTGTCAGACATTCCTACACAATCTATGGAAGAAAAGATTTCAGGATGGTTATAGCGTCAGGGAAGGAAGCTCTCAGGGTGAATCATGAAGGGATTTTTGGTTGTCATTTGATTAACAGAATTTCTTCCTCTCTATAAGCTCAGTATTTCCGCAAGGAGTTTCCTCAAATCCACTTAGTGCATTTTCTGAGTCAGTAATCATTTTGCCTATAAGCTGTAATTTGCGGGCACTTGAAAATGTAAAAAATCACTGAAAACTGGTACCAGGAGGTTCATGTCCATATTATGTTCATTAGTGAAAACATAGAAATTCACTTTATAGGCAAGACAGGAATTAAGAGAATTAATATTATTTGCAAACTTCAGTTTTTAATTTAGCCAGCAAAAAAAGAAACCATATAGGCCATACTAGTTCTTTTCTCTCTGACTGACCCTGAAATATAATCTGATCTCACGTCCTTTTTCAATCATGCAACAAATGAAACATGGTTTCCTCTGTACTATTTGTCTTGTCAGCTGGATTGTTTAAGTGTTTTCTTAGGAAGAACAGGCCACTGCTGTGGTTGATTGACTATCTTCTATGTGTTTCTGGGATGTCATAGTCTAGATTTCACGCTTAGTATGTTCCCAGTAGTGTACCTATTGACTTCATGATGCTTTCAGTGAATGAGATACCTACCTGTTAAATTGATGGACGTTGTGCCAACATCAATGGAGGAGGCTCCTTTGGGCCCTCTGCCTGCCTGTCATAGACGATTGAAATGATTTGTGTCAACCAAAGTTATCAAAGGAACGTGGAGATAAGAGTTGTTAAAAAAAAAAACTATCCCAGCTGGGCATGTTGGCATCCCCCTGTAATTCCTGCTTCAGGGGCATCTGAGGCTAGTGGATTGTTTGAGGTTGGGAGTTCTGAGGTGCAGCACGACTAAAGTTGATTGGATATCTGTCCTAAGTCCAGTATGATAAGCCCTTAGGAGTGGGGGGCCACCAGGCTGCCTTAGGAGGGCTGACCCAGTGCAGGTCAGGAAAGGGGCAGGTCAAAACCCCTAGAATGATCAGTAGTGGGGTTAGGCCTGAGTGTCTGCTATTCACCAGCGCAGATGACTTAGTCTTTATGAAACAAAACAAAAAGAATTAACCGAAGACTACTTTGGCAGCTTAAAGGAAGGCACCTTTTTTAAAATAACTTATAGCTCTAAAGAGGAAGCATTTCAGACATAGATGCAGAGTCTTAATGCTATGAATAAGCTCCTCCCCTAGTCAGAAGAAGTCTAAACTTTTTTTTTTTTGGCTAAGCAGTGGGGTTAAGTGACTTGCCCAGGGTTACACAGCTAGTAAGTTTCAAGTATCTGAGGTCAAATTTGAACTCAGGTCCTTCTGACTCCAGGGCCAGTGCCTCTTCCACTGCCCCGCGTAGCTGCCCCCAAGCCTATTATAAGTTTTGAGAATATAAAAAAAATATTATAGTAAAGGAGACAAAGTTAGGAGATTGATGAAGGTTTACAAGGTTGAGAGATAAGTGAAGACCTACAAAATAGAAGCAGTGTTTTGTTTTGAAATTCATAGCAAAAATTTTACACATGAACATATACTTAATTACAATTAATTTGAGGGGGTGCCTTTCATTATTCTGCCTAGAAGCAGTGAGGTTTCCAATGGAAAAGACAGTTTTCTCATACTCCTTCTAGGCTGTAATATCAGCTCACCCATAGCCCTTTGTAGTAATGCCAAGCTTTCTAGAAGCTTAAGCCAAGTCAGTCAGCATTTATTAAGTGCTTATTATGTGACAGGCACTGGGCTAAATGCCAGAAATACAAAAAAACAGTGTCTGCCCTCAAGGAGCTCCCAGTCTAATGGAGGAGACAACATGAAATCAGCTACGTACATACAAGATAACTTGGTCATCTTCATCAGAGCCAGCAAAGCCAAGGGGAGAACTGAGTCTCCAGTTAAGGTGCCATGTAGTTGCAGTAGGTCTCTCCTATTACAGCTTTCCTAGGTCACCCAGGCCTGGGAACATATCCAGGGCTCCATCCCTGGTGGAAAAAGCACACTGCTCCATACCCACCACCTAGACTGGGCTAAGCTTGATACAGTCCCCCTTTGCATGTTGTCCTTGTCTCTGTCCCCAAGAGGAGAGGCCCTGAGCTCTAATGAGCATAACTAGATAAAACACAAAACTAGATAAAAACCATGAGGTGATTGACTAAATCTTTTGTCTGTAGGAAACCAGACTGGAAAAGCTCTGTTCATAATTCTCTGAAAGTTCATTATGCCCATAGAAAAGTAGGGTGGCTGCTGGAATTGTATTTCTTCTTTTTATTAATACATCCAGTTTTCAGTTTTGGAGGGGAAGGATTACAAGCGTTTTTGAAATCCATGGAAGACACACAAAAAAACCTCAAAAACAAACCCTCATTTTAGCTGACAACTTTAACCTTCTCTCACAGTGCTTGGCACAAAGTACAAGCTTAATAAATGCTTTTTCTCAATTCATTCATTCATTTTCACAGAAGGAAAGGAGCACCACTGATTCTAGGTTTCATGTCTTCTCCCTGCTCCTAACTACCATCCAGTAGATTTTGTTTAGAGGAAATTGAATAAGAAATAGACAGGTGGCAAGAGAGAAGAGGAGAAAAGAGGGGTTCGGTTAATTAGCCTTGGAATAATTGAAAGTTCAGACTCCAAGGCATATGAGTGTAGGCAAGAATTCTTATGGGTTTTCTGGGTGACTCTTTTGGTAGAAGAGGCATGAATAAGGAAGATCTGAAACAAATTCATCAAATCAGCACACAATGAGAACCTGCTGGCCAGAAACAGGAGAATAATTAAAGCCCACTGCTTTTTTTTTCTTTTTTTTTTTTTACTTTCACTTTGTCCCACTTAAGGGGGAGGTGGTGCCAAGTGTTGCTCAGCAGACTCCACAGTCTGAAACTCAAGTACCGTCACCAGCATCGGAAACCCTGGATCCCTTGTTTTATCCTAGTTGGTATAAGGCCCCCAAACGGCAAGGCACCAACCCAACTTCCACCCAAGTGAGTGAAGGTTCGGGTCAAGTAGGGCCTTCAGTTTCTGTGGATGCCAGTGGGCAGAAGGCAGAAGAGGCAGAAACCACCACAGCGTCCAATGAGAGGGAAGCACTGAGTGGTAAGGAAGCTAGTACCACTGCAGCCACTTCTCAGGTCAGTGTCCATCCTCATGGTGTCCAAACGCTTTTATGTATCCATCACTCGAGCTCCAGCAGAATACGATAGGACAAGCAAAGGCTTCCCAAATGGGGCAACAGCAACACGTGAAATTAATTACAAAGTTGCATTTTAAAAGTATTTTTCATTCTGACCTGGCCACCTTATAACTGGCTTCCCAGTGGGGGATGTATAAAGAATCAGGCCCACTGGAAGGTAGGCCTGCAGCGAAGAGTTGCATTATCTGTAGTGATTGGTTGGTTTTCCAAGTTGCCCCTGTGAAATGGCCTCTTGTCCTTGCATGGCCTTTGCGGTATCCTCCCAGAGTTTTTTAAGCTTAACCACTGGCTTTTGTGACATTCACAGCAAGGTCCAAGAAAGCATGATTAATTGGAACTTAATTCTGCACTGGAAATAACTCCTCTGATTCATGACTTTTGGTAGTGTTTCAGCTATGCTAGACAAAGATAGCTTCAACTTAATTATACCTGTGCTTTCTTGGCCATAGATTCCTGGTAGGGGCTGAAAATGAGGTTTCCAGTATGTACTTTGTCCCCGTTTCTTAAAGAGATACTCCATGCTCCCAAACCATTATATTTGAAAATTTCATTTTGGTATAATGAGTGTTTGAAATCCATGTCATAGGTTGGATCTTTGCATGGGTATGTTTCACAGAAGAGACCTACACATCTTCTTCTGTGGCTAAGAATGCTGATGGAGATTTGACACTCATGGGCATTCTTGCACTGGTGTGTGGGTTTGGGTGTTGCACGATTAAAGGAAGGGTTTGGCAAAGAAATGGTTTCTCAGCCCATGCTTTTGGGCTGTGAAAAACAGATTGAATCTTTTCCAAATGGTGAGAATTGCTTTAACTGTGACCTTTGAGTCATATTCCAGGCTGGGTGAGGTAAGCTACTAAGAGTTTCAAGAGGAGAATGATTGTTGAAAAATGTAAAATACTAACTGCTGTATTAAAAGTCAAAAACCAAAAAAAAATTTAGGAGAAAAGTAGTTAGTCAGCGTTTGCTACATGTGTTCTTTTTTGTTTCTTGTTTGGAAAAATTTCTGTGGTGATTGTATATAAAGCAGTGAGAGCAAGCTCTTACTCATTTTAGTAAATGCAAAGAGAGTGATAACATAGTAAAGGAAAGTTGGGTGAGAAGGAACAGAAGAATTCATAATATTGAATACATAATATTTAACAAATTCTTATTAATTAAAGGCAAAAAGTTGGTTCTGAATAAAAAATGGAAGCACAACTTCTAGACTAGGTGTTCTTAACATTGGGTCTGTGAACTTGCTTAAAAAAATTCAAAAAAATATTTTGACAACTGTATTTCAATGTCATTCATTTCCTTTGTAATTTCATGTAATTTATTTTATCCACCTAAAAATATTTTTCTGCCTAAGCTTCACCAGACTGCCAAAGGGGGCCTTGGTACAAAAAAAGTTAAAAACTCTTGCTCCAGACAATGTTGAAAATTATAGTTATTTCTGAGCCTAACAGTGAAGCATTCTTCTTATTTCCTCACAGGAGTTAGCACTCTGCCTATCACTTTTGGCTTTTGTTATCATACTTCACTACATCTGGAGTCAGATTCATACTTGATTTTTACCTTGATGGGTAGGACATATTTTATTTATCATTGACTAACATTATCAATATTTCTATCCATAATGTTCCCCTTCCGGATACTCATAGGTGTGTTTCACCCCATGCCTGGAACCTGAATTGTCTTAAGAGAATCATGCTGTCAGATCATATCTGCTGCCTAAATCTCCCTACTGCTCAAGCTCCTCCATCCCCTTCTTGAAGGAAAAATGCTCCATTATCTAATCTTGCATGGTGGAAACCTCCTTTCTCTCTGGGAAAGGGGATCTGACTCAGAACAATGACTCGATGGGTAATTATTCAGCAATCCAGTACAAGTTAACCTACCAAATGATGGTTTTAGAAAGCCTGGCTCCACACAGAATAGCTTCATGAGGTATGACAGAATACTCACTGCCCTCAATACCAGCTTTAGTAATGATGATGAGTCTTTCCTAAATTATAGTCTAGGATTTCCTTGATTAAATTTTAAGGGTTTATCTCCCCTACCCCACCGTCTCCATGATGAGAAAGTTCTGCACAGCAATGATACTATAAGTTTTAGCTGGAGTAGAGGGGCCTTCCTGCCATCCACATATCACCTGGATGTATCTGGGCCAGTTGGCAAGAGTAAGCCTACCTCTGGAGAAGTGCCTCAACACTCATGATCATGGACAAAGGGTCAAAAAAGCAAAAAAAAAAAAGTAGAGGAGTTGTTGAATCAGTGGCTATCTACCAGCCAAAGGAAACCAGGAGAAAAACCAAGGAATTAGAAATGACTTTTAAACAATGTTTGCAAATTATTTTCTAGTTTGATCCTTTTAACCAAGCCTTTTAAAAAAATGGTTATAAAGGTTTGTTTTGGTGCTGGTATCTTTCTATTTTAACTTTTCTTTAAGATGATTGTTATCATATTAATAAATAATATTTTAAAAATCTAAGCCTGACAGCCTTGTAAGTAACTGACCCTACTGAGCCCGCTTCTCAGCTCCATGGACCTATGTCTCCAAAGGGCTTCAGGGTCACTGGCAACATGCAGCACCAGCTATTTCTGGTTCGTTGACTTTTCCTTTGGTTGACATTTGGCTGATCTGGGAGCTCCCCATCACAGAATTCAATTTCTTTCATCTCATTAGTTTTCAGTTGTCTGCCTTCCAATGGCAGTGGCTGCTTGTCAGCCACCTTTCAGTCTTCGATCCATCAAACTGTGTGAGAGATGGTGGGATGGTGGAGATGGCTGCTCCCTCTCCTCCTAGAGAGTAAATGAAGTGGTCCGTGGTCCTAAATCTTCTTAACTCTGTCCTTGTTAGCAATTCTTCAAGTCTGGGATATAGTGACTTGTTTGATATCTCCTCTTAATGATAATTATAACTAGCATTTATGTAGTGCTTTAAGGCTTACAAAGTGCTTTGCAAATGCCTCATTTGATCCTCACAACAACCCTAGGAGGTAAGTGTTATTTTTGACCCATTTTATAGAAGAGGAAACTCAGGCAGACAGAGGTTGTGACTTGCCCAGAGTTAGGCAGCTAGTAAGTACCTGAAGCCAGATTTGAATTCAGGTCTTCCTGATTCCAAGTCTTGGGCTCTATCCATTGTACTCCCTCACTGCTTCCTTTTCTAACCATTCATCAAAAAGAAGAGAATGGGAATCTCCATTGACTGTGAGCTTAGTGGGGGCTAATGAGGAGGAAGAAAGAATTACCTCTATTACAGCAACAACCTACTTGTGGATCTGAATGATTGGCTAAGAGTTCAGCCTGTGTTCTGAGTGTCAAGGGAGTTGGCACCTCCGTCATCTTTGCCAAATGTGTCTGAGGCTGCAGAGGGAATGTTAAGCTTTGTGGCTGTCCATCCATTTATTCCATTTCATATATGCTAAAATTCATGTCTGTTCATTGGAATGGTGGTAGGAGAACTGAAGGGAAGAGAAGACAGGAAAATGCATGTTCACTTTAACTGACAACCTAGTGCTGTTCATATTGTTCAGAAAGAGCTTTTGGGGCAGGGTAGGGGGGAAGGAGAGGAGAAGAAGTTTAAGTGCTAATGATAAAGTGATTTGGAACAATTTTCTGCCGGCCCAGATCCATGAAACCAAAATGAATCAATGTTAAACAGTTACTCAGCCAGTATGGAAAATTCAGGCAGGCATCAGTTTTTAGAGTATTGGCCATCTGTCAGATTCAATGGGAGTTGTTTCCCCATCTGGCTCTTCAGATCCTGAAACCTCCATATTTGTTTCTGATCAGGACCTGATCAGCTTCTAAGCACCTCAGAATTCGACACTAGACTATTCCTGTAATTTGAAGACTAGAGGGAGACTTCCTAATTCAGTATATGTTGAATTAAATTGAACTTGAGAATTAAAGACAAAATTTGAATTAGATAGAACTGGAGAATTAAGGACAAAATTTCCATTTACCTCTTTAGTAAACCTGCCTGCTTCTCTTTCTTTGCCTCTTCACTCTACTCCTTCCTTTTTGTCCAGTTAACATATTTCTTAACATGTCTTCTAATATGTCAGATTTCTTTTGCCTTATCTTCCTTGTTTGGGTCCTCTCATGTAACTGAGTGATATCTCTCCCTTAGCTAAAAGCCTCAGCATCTTCCGGAAACTTACTCAGTGACTCATTTCAACCTCAGTCCCTTCCCTGCCAACCTCTCAGACAATCAGAACTTTTCCCCCTAAGAAATTTCCTCATATTCATTCACTTGGTGAAATCCCATCATGGTTTTCCTGCGTTCAAATGCTGTCCTTTCAAATGTTATTTCTGTATAAGAGCTACAAAAATCACCTGCCTTCTCTGATTCTTTTGTGTAGAAACCAGCTAAAAAGATTGATTTGACTCTAGTGAGATTGCAACTGATGAGGAAAAAAAAAACAAACAAAACCTCTGGCTTCTCAACCATAAGTGAAATGTGTTTGTGTTTTACCAAAAATACATTAATATTTAGCTTCCTCTGTTCTCTGGAAAAGAACCATCCCACAAGAAAGTTTAAACTCAGCTTTTAAAACTTAGGGCATATTGGAATGAATAAATGTTATTGGCTACTTGTCCTCAGGACATATTCTGAAATTCCTTGTTTTGAGTTCCTGAAACTGCCTGATCTCAATCTACTCATGTATAAAATGAAAGGCTTAGACTGGGAAAGCTTAGACTAGTCTTAAAAAAATAAATTAATAAAAGGATCTATTCTGTGAAGTTTGGATTCCATCAAAGGGCCATACTTGAGGACCTAGAGGTCCACATGTGGCCTTGAGGCTACAAGTTCCCCATCTCTGGACTAGATGGTCTCTGAGCTTCCTTCCAGTTCAAACAGGTTGTGATTCTATGAATTTGCGTGACAGGTCCATCCATAAGGTTCATAGCTAGGTGGTGTAGATCCTGCCCCTCCCTCATCTCTCC